ATATGGTAAGGGGGGGGGGGGGGGACCTCTTATGCTAAGATTTACTTATTGTTTTCCCCTTAGAGCAGTTTGTTCAGTAGAGTCTCATAGAGTATGTAAGAAATTTATTTGAGAGCTGTCCAAGGTGCTGACTGTCAAATACTAAAGCAACGTGAAAAATAATGAATGGGGGTGATAATAATAGAAACGGTTCCCATTCATTGAACAGTGCGCTATTTTCCAAATATACTGTAGGTGAATATAATTTGTGTATCCATTGTTTGTTGTACAGGTTCCTATTCTGCTTTTTTGCACTGTGCTTCTAAACTCTCTACTTCTATATTTTGTATTATGTCACCCACCCTTCTGCCTGTCAATCTTCTTTTGTTTTGCCCATTCTATTGCATCTTTATCTTCTCTTGTAACACACACCCCAGACCCCAAACCTTCTGTGTACCTCCCACCCCATTGCCTATGAATCAGCCGTGTATGACCCAGTGCTTCTTGATCACTGACCGATCTGTCCGCTGTTGTGTCTGCAGTGGTGCTAGTCACACATACTCTATGGCATAGGCAAGGTGTGCTTTGCCATCCAAACAACATATCGAGGGAAGAAAAGGAATAAAGGCAGTAATCAGGGGAGTGGCGAAAACCAATTAACTTTTGTTTTTTAACACCTACTTAATTTTTAACCTTCTCTCAAATAGATTCCTTGTTATTATTTCCTTTGCAAATTTTTTTTTTCCTGGAAAAAATGTAGTGCTTATTGCACCAATCATGGAAATACATACTAATTACCTATTATAGCATACAGATAACAGGAAGAAAGACCCTTAATGGTAAATTTGATGGATTTGCTACAATGTCGTTCGACCAAGAGATTTGTAACTCTGTAACCAAATTATTCCTTAGGCCATAAACTGTGGCGGATTGTATTTCGTAGCTGTCACTTCTCTTTCTCATTCTGCCCAAGTTAATGTTAAATTAGTACCTAAATTAGTCCCACTTGAATGCTTTGCAGCCTACCACTGAATGGCAATTGTCTGAATACCAGTGCTAAGAATTAATTGGTTTATTCCTTGGAGTAACATAAGCTCCCATGTAAAGAGCATCCTGGTTTTGTTTATAATAATGTCACTTATACACCGTATTAGTTTTATGAACTGGCAGGAAAGTGGGACAAATCTCTTTTGCAGAGTTGGAAAGTAGAAAGAGTAGGTGGTATGCATATATTAAGTCTCTGTGCTCATTAACAATCTGTTTCATTAACCCTTTGTTGTTTATTGGTATTCTCAGCCTAACCTTTTTTAATAACGGACTGCATCAGATAAAAGCTTTTGCTTTTACAGTGGATGATTTATTAAAGATAACAATAAGGCAAAACAAACTTATTAATTAATCAGTGTATGGTCAATGTATTATAAACAAGGAACTAAGAGTTGACTTGTACTGTTTATTTATTAAGACATTATGATTTTTTTTCCAGCATAATGAAAACTGCTGTATGTCATTCCTGCTGTGTTTCCAGTTAAATTAGACAGGATAACCAGTCAAGTTTTGATGAGGGGGCCAAAAAAGAATGCAATCAAAAAACCTTCCGCTAGAATACTAAAACACAGCGCTGCCTTGTTAAAACAGAAGCTATTTATGTATCATCACTTCAATCACAAATACAAAAAAAAACAAAGTGTTGATTTCTCATTTAAGGACAGTGTATGCAGCAATGAAAATAATTCCTTTATGCTCCAGTGGCCAGTTTTGCATCCAGAAAATGCTGGTAGATTGAACAAACGTGCCATTTGTTCATACAGCATGTGGGGTTTTTAGGCTTGTTGGGCATTGTCAGTGCTAGATATGTATTTTTAAATTGTATTTAAACAATACCGCTGTGGAGCAGAAAACTCAAGTTGAGGCACTCTTCAGTGACCTAAATGGGAGCTTATTGTTGGCTTTCTTCTGGTGAATAGTAATTATTAGTTAGATCTCTTTGAAAAACCCACTGGAATCAAAAGATCCATAACTATAAACTAAAATCTAGAATTCTATGACGGTGACAAGTTGTCACTTGAAGGCTTACTTAAAGTGACATTAAAGTCAAAAGGGTGTTAAGCTATTTCAAAGTCTGATTAAATCACTTACAATGTGTGCTTCTCCTTGATGTTTAAAGGTTTTAGCTTTGTGGTGGAATTTTGATATTAAACATATACTTCATGTTGCTGATATTATTTAGCATATACATTATTATTATCATAAAAATTATGTAATAGTTAGTTATTTAGTTCTGGAAGTTAAGCAGCCCTATAAAGAAATATACAGAAGAACTTTAGATGAACCCTAAGAGCATACAAGGCACACTTGGCACGTATCAAGTCCATGTGCTTGCGCCAGAATAGAATTCATATAGAACGGTATAGAACAACTCAGGAGACATACTCGAATTGATTTACTAAAGGCAAATAGGCTGTTCACTTGGCTAGTGGCAAGTATCTTCAAAAGCATATGCAGGTGGAAAGATCACATGTGTAAGTCTGCCGTATCGGTAGCATGGCATATTGTAGCCCATATGGTTGTATTGTAACATTTCTTAGAAAAATGGGCCTGCAAGCTTCTGTTCTTTGAACTGCATGTTGCTTGTTCCCAGCCACAGCTGTTATCATTAAACCTACTAAATGAAGCTTCTGCCTGGTCTGATCCTTTGTAATTCCACTTCAGCTTGCTGCAAAATCAGCTGGTCCCTTGAGCACTGGCCCTGAAATCTAGTTTTAGAGTGGCTCCTTTCCCTTCCAGGGTCCCACGGAGCTACCCTTGTGTGTGCGAGAAAGCTGGGTTTGTCTACACAAACACACAGCAGCAAAAAGTTTCCCAGCACACTCACCAACCAGCATGCAAAAAAAAACCTGTCTAACCGCTAAGGTTAACAACAGAGGTTTTAGATACACGTCTTCTTTTTGCATGCTGGCTGGTGATTGTGCTGGAAAACTGTTGTACTGTATAAAGCCCTTCCATGTGCACCTTGCTTGAAAGCTGGTTATGAGTTGATGAGTGCATTTGCCATTTGTTTTGCTCCACAAACACACAGACACAGCAAAGCATTCAATTCCCTTGCTCTCTGTTCTTCGTTTCTTCCTCCTCCCTTCTCCAAGCTAGAAGATGGGCAGCTGCTGGAGACTGCACTGTCCCTAAATTTATGATCTGCGTACTTGTTCCAAATCAGTGATTTAGGAAGCCATTGAATCAGCATGACAGTCAGACAGCTCCAATTTTATAGATAGTTTCACAATGACAGCCTCCATATTTCTCTCAGAACAGGTTTTCTTTAACTGATAAGGCATAAAGATGGCAGTACCCCCACAGCAATGTAAGAAACTTACCGGGTTCCATCCCGGGATCGCGATCCGGGACCGCGCATGCGCACAACGGGCCAGGGCTGCTCCACTCGGCGCACGCGCACGTCGGACCCTGGCTCCTCCTGGCGCAGGCGTAGGAGGCCTTTTAAGACGCGGCCAAACAAATCTTCGGCGTCCTACTGTTTGCAACAGTGAACGCCGAAGATTCATGCTCTGCCACCGCAGACCGTTCAGGCGGACCCAAGCAGCATTGCTGCAACCCCACACCGTGGGCGAACCCCACACTGAAGGAGCGCCTCATAACTATTGACACCCGATCCTGGAGAAGTGACACCTGGGAGCCAACTACCACTTAGCCACAGGAAACCATAGGAGTGACATCAGCTAGAGGCTCCGTGATCGCAAGTATCTGGGGCAATACTGCCATTACTGATAACCTTTGTGATTGCATAGCTTGGACTAATCAAATCTTACTTAACCAACTCAGTGTGTACATATATGACTGTTATATCAATACTGCCAGCAAGTAATGTTATACAGGTGATGCATGTGACATTCTAGAAGAACAGCGCCTGTACTTACTGCATTAGTTATCTGCTCACTAGTCCATATGTATATTCCTCTCATTTCTGCCAGATTGGGAGTAGTGTATTGACCAGTGGAGAGTAGTACCAGAGCTCACCACCGGGTGTCTTTCTCAAAGTTAACCCTATCACTTCCAGCGCATACCATTCCCCTAACCTTGATTCCACAGTTCTACATGATGTTCAAGGTCTTAAACACTTCTCTAAATTGCTGAGAGAGTTTAATCCGAGACCGATTACTGAACAGACCGTGAGAATTCCCTCTCCACAGTTGTGATCCTAGGCTTGCATAGCAGAGTTGTTACAAGCAACCAATGCTTTTGTAGCATCTTCCTGTGGTATTGAGATAATGAGCATTCCCAGGGTCTCAATAGAAGATGCATGATATCACCATTGCCTTGGCATCCCGGGTAGGAGTTGGGGTGGGGTTCAGGGGTCTAACTACTAAGTGGATGTTGCATTTGAATGCAATGCGCGCTTTGAAGCTCATCTTCACATTTTATGAACAGATCCTTCCTCCGACAAAAGTGGGTGGTTCTAAATTTAAAATAGAATGTCATTTACAAAATTATGTTGGATGTGCTAAAGTACCATGAGCCTATGCTGGTGTGATGGTGTAACCCCAGGGGGTGTGTTCATGACAGCCCAAGCTTTTTAGAAAGTGGGTGGAATGAAAATGAGAATCAATGATCCCAGAAGAGGAGCACCATCCAGTGGAGGAGCTGACTGTGTGGGACAGTGCTGCTAGACAGTGAGTATTGCAGCCAAAGCAGCTTTTTTGTTTTTGTACAGGCTGGGCAATTTATTTTTTTGTTTCTTTATTAATAACTTGGAGTTCTGCTTTGCTCCCACAGTGGGTGTTAATGTATAATGTGTTTACTTGCATTACAAAAGAATGCATGACAACATATTCAGCAAATAACTATTTATAATGTCCTAAAGAAATGTGACAATGTTCAAGGAAGACGCTCAAAGTTGCACAAATACATATTAGTCTTTCTGTTTCTGCACAGGACACAGAGATTTTAAATACTGCTATTCTTACGGGGAAAACGGTGGCTGTACCAGTTAAAGTTGTTTCAGTTGAAGAAGATGGATCTGTAATGGATATATCTGAACTGGTGGAATGCAAGTCTTCTGATGAGGACGTTGTCAAAGTAAGTGGCTATGTCATGTAATGGACAAAAGAAATGTTTGTAAAGTGTCAATCATTTAAAATGTCTTCTAGATCAGGGGTATGCAAACTCTCTCCAGCTGTGGTGCAACTACAAACTCCATTAGACATTTTAAGACTGATAGCCGCAAGCCTGACTCCCAGAGGCAGAGTAGTTTCCCCAAAGCTGGAGCGTCGGAGTATGCCTATCCCTGTTTTAGAGCCTTTCTCCTTCTACTACAACTTCCACAGTGTTCTGGAACAGTCACATAACTCTCTGCTCGTATCCTTCATCCTCTTGTTAGCTTGATGAGGGATTGTCCACACCATATGCAATGAACTGCATTGACCTGCATAGATCACCGCAGGCTCAATGCAAGGGTATGTGTAAAGCAATTATTCACTTTGTGCCCTGTTTACATCACAATGCTGTATTGATGTGCATTGCAGTGCATTGTATAGAAAATGCAACCTTAATTCTGACTATACAAACAGAAGAAAAGCTGGCCACACACTAGATTCTGCTGGTATAGTCTATTGAAGCGCTCCAAAATGAGCCCATAAAAACAGAAGAAAAGCTTCTCTATGACTATGGCTATGACTAAGATATCTATGATGTAGAGATCATCTCTACGACTAAGCCATTGATTGTGTAAAATGCATCAGAGGGGTGGAATTTGGTCGGGAATCCAGTGATGTGGTACATGCTTCAATAAACGATCCCAGTGGAATCCAGTGTGCAACCAGCTTTACTTCTGTATGTATGGGCTCATGTTGGAGCGAGGACTCCCAGCAGCAAGCACCTGGCTCATTCCTTTCCTGAGCAGAAGAGTGGAGCTTCTTTTTGTTTGTTTGCCTTCATTTTGACTAGAAGCTCCCATCTATGCGACTCAATCTAATGACTGTGTACAAAATAAATACATGCATCGATCCAGTAACTTAATTTTTTTTGTTTCATTTGTCTCAATATTTTGAAAGACTTTACAAATTATCTGTATTTTTACTTCTAATAATTAAATGGCTTTGGATGGATTCTACCAGATCAAATTGATGGTGAAAGCAATCAGAGGGCTTGGAAAAGTCAGGGTTTTTTTCAACATGAGTCTGTGGAGCAATTAATCCATTCTGAAATAATCACTTTCAATTTTGGTTTACATATGGCTAGAAACTTTTAAACTTGAAAGTGATTGGACTGATGCAGATTAATTTTCTGCCTTTGCTCTCTAAAATGACCATGTCAGATGTCTAATCAATAAAAACAATAAAATCTAGCACCTACAAACAGAAGAAAAGATGGCCGCTCACCAAATTCTGCTGGAATAGTATATTAAAGCTTGCACCACATCAAAGGTGTCCCGTCCAAGGTAAACCCCCTCTGACCCGTTTTTACTCAATCACGGCCTTAGTCATAGAGATGATCTCTACGTCGTACAGATCATAGTCATAGTTGTAGTCATAGAGAAGCTTTTCTTCTGTTTGTATGGGCTCATATTGGAGTGAGTATGTGCTTCTGACAGCAAGCATCCGGCTAATTCCTTCCCTAAACTGTGGAAGAGCGGTGCTTCTTTGTGTGTTCTCTTTGCAATTAAATCTAGCAGTTAAAGGAGAACTATGAGGTGAGTGCTTTTCACTCACCTCATAGTTCTAGCAGACCTGTGACAATGAGACTGTCACAGGTCGGCTCAGTAGATCGGGAGGTGAGCGAACACATACCGGGTTCGCTCACCTCTCGATCCTGTCACGGCTCTCTGCCGTGACAGGGGGAGGGGCTGGATTCCCCTCTCCCTGCTCCGATCTGCCAGCCCTGACTGGCGGAAAGGACGGGGAGGGGGCGGGTACAGCTGGCTCTGCCTATCTAGAGGCAGAGCATGCTGTCACTCACGCAGCTGGGCGGATCTCGTTGTCTAAGTCGGGATCCGCTCCGGCGTCACAGTATACCGCGAGCTGTAGCTGTATACTGAGCTTAGGGTAACGGGAGGACGCCAGTTTGTGTCCTCCCGTTACCTTAAGGAGAACTATGGGGAAAACACTGACCCCATAGTTCTCCTTTAAGCATATAAAAATGAATCAGTGTATTGCCAATGCTCAAGAGGTGATAATTACCCTAAAAATATTACCTGTTTGTTATTCTTTCCATCATGATAAGTTGGTGCCACTTCTTGATCCGTTCCCCTTTCTTTAGCTTGCTCCAATCACAGAACCATATACACCTTGCACCCATATTGATGTGACATCTTGCCAATATATTTGGCACAGAGTGTTTGGATCATACCTCCATGCCCAACTAACCTCAAATGTCTAAGTTAAGCTTAAGACTTCTACACCAAAGTTTATTTTGTGTCATTGGCATCTACTACTTCCATTAGCTTGATAAAACTGAGGAACGCTTTGAGTTACAGCACTTCATTACTCTTTGCTAGAAAAACCAAGTATACGTGTACATGAGGTAAAGTACTCGGCAAAAGAAATTGCCAGATATAATAGCCTATAACTCAGAATCGTGGGGGAAGGTAGACAAAGCCATCAATGAATAAACAAACCTTTACATCTGGGAAAAGTTATTTCACAGGTACAGAACTGGGAGTCTGCATGATAAATAATTAAACGCTGCCCAGTACATTCTCTTCACAGGGCACAAAGGTTGTTTCTAATAAACTCAATGCATTTGATGCAGCTCCAGTCTTCCAATTGTATGATTAAAATAAGGTGTTTCAATATAATACCACTTGTAGAAAATCAAATGACCCAGTGAAGGTTAGTCAACAAGGATAAGTAATAGATATTGCACTGCTAAAATAAAGCAAGGGAGGGATAGCAATGGATGCCATAGAAAACAATTAATGTCTTGTGTATTTCCAGTTCATTACTATACAGCACATTATAAGAAGAACTTTGTATTCTACCCACTGTTACAGATAGATAAATAGATACACAGAAACATTTTTACAGCTAGATTGACAGACACAATTTAAAACTAATTCCAACCTTTGCGATTGTTTTTTTGTGAAGAATTTTTAACTAATGTGGTAGCATTTATTTTCCATTCTCATTCATTGGCCTTTTAGACTGCAAGTCAGACTAAAGCTGAAAATGCCTTAACAGTTGGGAAAGTTGCCATTCGAGAGGCTTCTGAAGAAGAGGATTCCTTAATAGACTCCAGAAGGAAAATTATATATAAAGAGACTGTCAATGCTCCTAAGTAGGCATGAATGAACAGTGCAAGGTTTGGATTGCAAGGGGTTCGGCAAACCATACTGGGCCATGTGCCTTTTAACATTGGGGGATACCTTGCAAGGGGGCATGGATTTAGCTTTGATTGTGATAACCCGCTGCCCCACTATGTTTGCTCAGGACGCAATGGCAGAATCTCAGGCTTTGCTGAAATGTAAACAATAGTGCCAGAGATCCTAGGGATGTCAAATACAGTCATGATCATATTTGGTCAATGCCATAATCTGTGATCCCTGGCTAGTTTGTTTACAGATGGGATTCAGGCTGGCAAACTGGGCCGTTTGGCTGTTTATGTAACTGTGAACAGTGTAGGTTTGGGTCAAGTTCAGGTGAGTCCAACCCAAACTCCAAGCTCAACTATACTGCTAAGGATTTAAAGCACTAGGGGAGTGGGGAGATGGTAGGGATGGGGCTTAGTACAGGTGGTGGAGCTAAGTGATGGGACAGTGACACATGTTGGAACTGCCTTGGAAAGCACACATCTTCATGCTACTTATGTATGTATTCATGGTCCAATAGTACAAAGTTAGCTTTTTTTGTATAAAGAGAAATCCTTTAAATTTAAGTTTGTGTGAATATCCTCTCTATTTATTTTAGCATAGCGTACTTGTTACTTGTGTGTTCTGGCTTTACATTGCTTGTTGTAAAATATTTGGTATCCTGGCTACCCAGAGGATATTGAACATCATGCTCATCAAAATATGACCTCTGGGATTCACAGAAGTCATGTCATGTCAGATTGTACTTTAAAGAAACACTTTAGTTTGCTATAAAAAATAATACTATCTGCTGTTCCTCTGGGCTAGGTGACACAACCATACATTTAATGATGCTAAAGAAAATCCAAAGGCAGATTGTTCTTAAATCAATCTCTGCTTCATCTTGCGTGACTGGGAACAGATGAAAAAGATAAATACTGCTCTTTATTTACAACTTAATCTCTTCATAAATGTGTGTCTGCAGCCTAACACAGTGCTTTCCTAAATGTGTGTAATTAATAATTAGATACTTTTATTTCTTCTTTTCTGTTTTTCATGCATGAATAGCAAAGGATAGAAGGTGCAGAGAACCATTACACATAGGGGTCTATTCACTAAGCTGCCATAGGCAGCCGAGTGAACGACCAACCTGAAGTGAAGTGAGCCGAATGCTGTTCGGCTATTCACTTCAGGTTTGTACGGCTGATTTCAGCCGTATATCGGCTGAAATCAGTTGTACATCGGGTTGCTTCGTGTGGCTTCGGGTCGGCCGAACATGCACAGCATGTTCGGCCGACCCGAAGTGCAGAAGGAGTTAGACTTATCCAACATCTGGATCATCTAAGCTGAACCTCCGGCATGCTACTCGCTGCTGTTCGGTCTATTCTTATAGATGCCAAACAGCAGTGAGTAAATGAGCGGCATTCAGCATGGCTGTTCTGCTCGGTGCCTCTGTGGGACCGAGCAGAACAGAAAAATAATTTAAAAAAGGAGTAAAAAAAATAGAAAACGATTGTGCAGAGCTAGCAATGACAGCTAGCTCCGCCCAACTGTTTTCTATAGGCTGTGGTTCTGCTGCCGTCAAAAAAAAGAAGAAAAAAAAAACTTTGGCCATAGGGATGCATTGCTAGATTCCTATTGGCTATTTAAATTTGCAATAGCCAATTGCAAACTAGCTATTGCACCCGCCCCCTGCTGCTGTCAATCACTAGTGGGGACCTGATGAAGAACTGCAGCAGTGTGCGGGTGCAATAGCTACTTTGCTATTGGCTATTGCAAATTGAAATAGCCAATA